TCTGTGTGTGTGTGTCTGTGTGTGTCTGTGTGTGTGTCTGTGTGTCACAGCAGTGCACTCTTTGTGTAGGACAGCAAACACAAAGACTGGTTGAACGACGCCTGAAGCTCCGCCCACCCTGCCTCCAGCCTGGAGGAGAGGCGGAGCAGTGCTGCCATGACAACAGCATCTTGTGACACCGTGTGCAGGTGGAGCTGAAAAGACAAACAGGAAATGAGATTTTTTCACAATAAAAGACAGAAACAAACACAACGTGACATCTGATTGGCTCACCTGCAGGAAGAGCGCCAGGTAAGCATGAGCCAGGTTGAAGTCCCGCCCACTGGCCAGCATGCTGTCAATCATGTGGATAAAGGCCAGCAGCAGGCTGTTGTCTCCGCCCCCCTGTGATGTCAGACAGGTGAGCTCCACAGAGATGGCGGCCGGCCCACAGTCCTTCAGGAGGCGCAGCGGCTGCTCGACTGATGAACAAACATCAGGAAGATGAAGTTTCACAATAAAAGCTGATGCATGCTAACGCTCTTATTTTGAAGGACAGGTGTGCACTCACAGGAGCCGGACTGCAGCGCTGAGTCCAGAGCACAGCTGAAGTCTGACCTCTGGGCCAGCCAACCAAAGGACAGCAGCTTGGACTGACACACAGGAAGTAGCACACCATCAAACACTGAATGAATGCTGCAGGGGGCGGAGCCTGCGTCTGATTGGCCCTACCTGTGGGTCCTCTTTGGTTGCCACGGGCAACTCAAAGCGAGGCGTGAGACCAGGAACTGTGGGCAGGAAGAAGGGAGCGGTGGGTGGAGCAGCAGGGGGCGCCACAGGCTTGTTCCTCTTCTGTAAACAACAACAACAACAACAACAGGTGAAGAACACTTCCTGTGGGCGGAGCCTGCTCTCTGTCACTCAGCTCACCTTGATGGTGTCCAGGTGCAGCAGACTTTTCCATCGAGACTCCGGCAGCAGTGACAGCGTCACAAGCTCCGCCCCCAGCTGATGAGCTGACTGGAACGCATCATCAGCCTCTTCTGATGTCACTTCCTGTTCTGCCTCCTCTGCGGTGAAGCCGGGCAGCACCTCCTCCACCGGCTGGTAGTCGGCTGGAAGGGGGCGGAGCCCCACGGGCCCACACAGGCTGCGATTGGACCTAAGAGGCAGAGCCGTATTGTGATTGGCTGACTCAGATGATGTCATCGCTTAACAACGTGCTGTGATTGGCTCATACCACAGGTAAACGCCCAGGCTGTCCACATGGGCCGTCACCAGGAAGTCTCCTGTCGGGGACAGGGACACGCCCACTGGTGCCGTGGCAACCAGGAAGCAGTCCACCAAACTGAGGAGAGAAGAAGAAAACAACTGTACTCTGATTGGCTGCTGTGTTGCCTAGCAACCAGTAGGTGCAGCTGCAGGTAAACAAACTCACCATCCAGAGGGCAGGTCCCAGGTACGGATGGTGCAGTCCATCGCCACGGTAACCAGCCAGCGTCCATCAGGACTGAAGGTCTGAGGACACAGAAGGTCTACAGCTAATGATGCTAACAGACGTTAGCATCATTAGCTGCTCGTTAGCTCACCCACCATGTCTGTGATGTTGCCATGGTGACCTGCGAACTTCCTGACAACTCGTCTGGTTTCCATGTCGACAACAAGCAGAGTGAAGTCGTCCAGCGCCACGGCAACCATCCCACTGCCGGTCAGAACACAAGACATGAGCTTCAGACGAGAGGGGGCGGAGTCAGCTTAGACCAGGGCTGCCCAACCTGTGCAGCTCAGAGGTCAGAGCTCAGGGGTCAGAGGTCAGGGGTCAGAGGTCAGAGCTCAGGGGTCAGAGCTCAGGGGTCAGAGCTCAGAGCTCAGGGGTCAGAGGTCAGGGGTCAGAGGTCAGGGGTCAGAGCTCAGAGCTCAGGGGTCAGGGGTCAGAGCTCAGGGGTCAGAGCTCAGAGCTCAGGGGTCAGAGGTCAGGGGTCAGAGGTCAGGGGTCAGAGCTCAGGGGTCAGAGGTCAGGGGTCAGAGCTCAGGGGTCAGAGCTCAGGGGTCAGGGGTCAGAGGTCAGGGGTCAGAGCTCAGGGGTCAGAGGTCAGAGCTCAGGGGTCAGAGCTCAGAGGTCAGAGCTCAGGGG